TGCGACTTCTGTGATGTGAGAAACCCACCACAAACACACATTTCCTAAATAAATTCAATACAGTTTACCAAAGAACTCAATACAAAACAAAGCACAGCAGTTCAGAAAAGACTATCAGTGCTACAGTGCGCTGTATCATTTTGCTCACTGAGCTAACAGGTACATCCCGTGATTACATTGTACTTTTTTTCCTAGGCTAACCAACCAAGTAAAATTAAAAGGTTTACTTGACAGTATCGTTATTTTGACATAATCTTTTGAATTGATAGTCAATTCATTGTTGTAAAAACTATTTGTAATTAACTAATTTCAATTACCAGAATGAGTCCCACATTTTGCATTCAATCCTGTTATCATATCATTTTCCCCCAATACATAAAATTGAGCATTCTTGAAATTTAAAGTACTAAATTCTACTATTCAAACTCAAGCTATTCTAAGAAATTTATGGTAAATAAGAGTTTTTATATAACTAGAATCCAACTCCTGGCCCCAAACCTATCTCTATTTTCTTTTTATTTTTTGTATCTGGTCCCTTTTTTCACTTAATACTGATTTTCAGGCTTTTATTCTCTAATCATGAAAAGTGCCACCAAAATACATCACCAAATTAATACATATCTGCTTAACAATTTTTTTTGTACAATGCTCAATAATAATGAATTTATTCTTTAAAAGAAATGCCCAGAGGGGAAAAAAACTACAGAAAGATATAGCTGTTCAGTGATGCTAGAGGCCCTTCAGCTGTGTTTGTGCAGATAGCCAGAGATAAGCGTGCATTAATGACATAATAATTTGCATTAGTCACAGCATGGGGGTCCAGGCAAGTAACAGTGTTTAAATGCAAATTATGTGCTTGTCTGAAGCTATAGATGGCTAAAGCATAGAGTGTTCTGTTTTCCCTACAAAACCACATGCACATATTTACACAAACAATTACTTTAAAAAATCATAGCATGAAATTATCAGGACACTTTAACTGTCTTTTGTCTCTTCAGGACTGTGGAAAGTGCTACGTCTGTCCTGTTTGTGAGACCGTCTGCAAGCCAGGTAAGAAACACACTAGAGCAATTTCATACATGCTATTTTAATTGTTTAGATTGTGGATAATTTCAAAGTCTGAATATTTTATGAACTCACTACATTTTTTTTCTAAAAGGTGGCTTTGTTGACTCTGTTTCTGGATCCATCTATAAGTAAGATAATATTCTCTTGCAAATAAACCTGCAATAGTAATTCTTGTTACAACCATAGTCATATACTGATGTAGCCTATACCCTCTGCTCTTCTTTTTCAGGACTGTCGCAGACGTCTTTAATGATGATGACGACGACGACGACAACTAAACCCGTTTGTCACCACCATGTGGCCAAAAGAGGAACGTGCAACTGCGTTTCACAGATTTCAGGATTTACATTGTAGCGTTGTTCATTGTCGTTAAGTTTCTCTCTCTCTCTCTCTCTTTTAATGTTATCACATCACACGCTACAGTCTCGTCAATAAATACATACACGTGGAACTTAAATAATTTCATTATCTTAAATTAAATGTATTTAATTGAACAACATTTCCCTTTTAAACAGTCTTGTTATTAACATATGATATGAAATGTAATTGCAAACCTAACTGTGTTGTTTTGAGACTACTAATGGAATAAAATGAGGGAACGTTTTATTTATGTGTGTAAGTCTAATAATATTTTTAAAATACTTTTAAAAACATATCAGTGTAGACAGAGTATAATTGTATGCAGTGTTGGGAAGGTTACTTTGGAAATGTAATAGGTTACAGATTACAAGTTCCATATTTAAAATGTAATAAGTAGTGTAACTATTTCAGTTACTTTATTAAAGTAATGTAACTGATTACATTTGATTACTTTTTGATTACTTCTCTAAATTTCTAATGTTTTCAACTGTTCATTATTTTGAAACATTTAAAGCAGGCAGGGTTAACCTTACTGTCAGACTTTCAGAATCCTTCGTCACTTGAATTAAGATTATAATAATTGAATTGTAATGCACAGCCACCTCAAAATCGGACTTTAGCACCTCTTTTTACTTTGAGATCTTTTTGAGGTTACATACAGATTTAAAATCATAAGATATACTTTAATAGTTATGATACTGTTTTTGAAATCAAATTTTTGCATAGCTATGACAGGAAACACTGGCATCTAACAATGCCTTGGAAAAAAACTGTTAATCTTAAAAAAAAAAAAATCATATACATAAGCCAAAATAGGAAATAAAACAGTTATCGGATAAGCATGTGTCCTATTCTGTGTCCTCAACTCCTGAAACATTGGTGTCTCATATTTTAAATCTGTATGTGTGCGGAAATATTCAGATGTAACCCCCTTTGTAATCATTAAAATTTTCATAAGTAACTGTAATTTAATTACACTTTTTTTTTCTCAGTAACTGTAACAGATTACAGTTACATTTATTTTGTAATTAAATTACGTAATTAGTTACATGTAACTAGTTACTCCCCAACATTGATTGTATGTGAGGGATGTCCTTACTGTCTCTGTTGAATTTAATAGGTTGTGATGTTTTTCACTTTTCTGTCAATTTTTCAGCTGACGAAACATGATTTCCAAACATTTGTGATATGAAATGTGGCCTTAAAGGGATGTACATACAAAAAAGAAAACTGTGTCATCGTTTAATCACCATCATGTTGTTTCAAACTTGTGATTTTCTTGGAAAAGTTCTGTACTAGCAGAAGCGGGCCTTAAGATATTTGAGGTCCAATAGTAAAAGTATGCTAATAAGAACACAGCCTAACTAGTGCACTAGGCTATTCACACTATATAATATACCATTAGACTCTCTGTATTACGTGGTTATCATGAGTCAATAAACAATAATGTTAAACTGTTTGTTTGACCATTGTCCATGTCAACGTTCAGGTACTTTATGTCTCCTTTTGCTATTTTCACACAAATGCGAGCCGCTTATTGTCATTCTCTATCCTGCAACTTTAGATGATTAGCAACCATCTGTAGTAAAGAGGCCTTGGGGGAATAACTTAATTAGTGAGCATCCTTTTCATAAAAGACTAGAACAGGTAAAAGACACAAAGCTGGGAGGATGAACATAAAAAAGAGGCTAGTTATAGTTATTGTCTTTGACATGAACAGGCCTTTAGTTATCAACTAAAGGCCTGTTAATGGCCGACGGTGTGCATCGGCTTTAACTTTTATTATTTAAACACTGTAATAGATAAATTGCTTTCTACAATGTACTATTTTGTAGCAGAAGCTCTACTATAATCTAGATGTAATAAACGATTTAAATTCAAACCACTATTTTATGTCCATTTATGTTTGATGCATGAGTCCAGCGTTCTCTGCGAACTTTTATTCTGAAATTTATGACGAATCAGGAAGAGGAGCAAAAGATCCTTTCCGGTTCAGGATCATAAGAGGTAAACAGCAACTTCTGTGCTTATTCCCGCACTTTTATATCTACTATTAATATATGAAAGAACAAATTGCGATTGATTAATGTGTTGCTTCCGGTTTGTTGTAGCATGTGTGGTGTCTATTATGGATTTCCCGGGAAATCCTCCTCCTGGGCGTGTTCACTAAGCAATTATCCATCATGGGCCGACGTGTATTTATGTAAAACTATGTGCAAAATCTGTTCACCAGCTTCATAAAAACAATTCATTCTGTACAGTAAAGGACAGACATGACTCGACACGGGAAAAACTGCACAGCAGGAGCCGTTTACACTTATCACGAGAAGAAGAAAGACACCGGTAATGTATCCATGTAACATTAGTCTGTGACATGAAATGATTGCATTGTAATTACAATAACAAATTGTGCGTCTCACTTCATATTTTCAGCCGCTTCTGGTTATGGGACACAAAGTGTGCGTTTGGGGAAGGATGCCATCAAAGATTTTGACTGCTGCTGTCTCTCCTTGCAGCCCTGCAGGGACCCTGTCTTAACGTAAAAGCCACATTTGCACTCATAGAAATGTTTTAATGCTGAAATTGTCTGCATGCGGTTATTTTATGCAGTCTTAAGTGATTATACTGAGTGTTACTGGCCCATTTGCGTGTCGGCAGCTTGGAGACTGGGATGTGTTTGTGTTTATATTTGCTTCCTACAGTGAAGATGGATACTTATATGAAAAAGAAGCCATCCTGCAATACATCCTTCACCAGAAAACAGATATTGCCAAGAAAATGAAGGTTCGTGCACTTTTTACAAATGTATTTTGCTCTAAATGTGAATGTCCTTCTCTGTTTGTCTAACACACACATATATTTTTAAACTCAGGCATATGAGAAGCAGAAACGGGCTCTAAAGAGTGAAGGCCAGCTGGAGTCCAAGTTTGAGGAGCGAGAGAGAGCTGAGAAGTTCAAACAGAGAGAGAACAACATTGTCTCCAAGCCAATCAACCCCTTTACCTCAGGTATGAAAACTAGACAAGGTGGTTTAAACTTAAGCACAACACAATGAGATTCCTGCTTGATTATGTGTATAACTCATGTTTCTGTAGATAAATCTAAGGATGAAGGAAGCCAGAAGGGCTCAAGCAGCTCCTCCAGTTCTGACACAGGAGTGTCCAGTTCCTCTTCAGCTCTGCCCAGCTTCTGGATCCCCAGTCTCACACCAGAGGCCAAGCCCACCTTGCTTAAAAAACCTGTGGGTCTCTAGATCTGTCACGTTCCCCTCTTTGCCAACCACGTGCCCCTAACCTTGGGTCTTCAGTAGTCAGGTGTCATTCATGGAAGTGCATTACACAAGAGGTTGTGCTTGCCCTGAAATCAGTTTGCATGCCAAATGTTCTTTTGATCGGTCATGATGCCCTTGATTGGTTTGTTTGTCCAGCTCTCCTCCTGGTTCAGTCAGTTCTCCACTCTGTGTGTTCAGTAGCTTCTTGTGTCATGATTGTCCTCTTTTAAAGGATCTCACCCTGTATGGGGCACTTAATTTAAGATATACACCTCACAAATAAACTCTTTGGACATCAACTATTATCATTAACTGTTTTTCCTTCTCTCTTGCTTTTTCAGTCAAAGACAGTGTTGTGCCCCATGTCAGGACGTCCTTTGAAGATGAGTGATTTGATTTCAGTGCGCTTCACTCCGCTGGACCCCAGTCTGGACAGAGTGGCCCTCCTCACACGCCAAGTAAAAAGCCCTAATTTTTGAGCTTGCTTTTTTTTTTTTTGACCTTTATCTCTCTCTTTCTATTTAATGCTGTGTACATTACCTTTCAAAAGTTTGGGGTTGGTAAGATTATATAATGCTTTTGAAATATTTGAAATATTACAATTTTAAATTATTTACTCCAGTCCACAGTGTCACATGATCCTTCAGAAATCAAGGAGGGATGTAAGAGGCGTTTGAAGTCAGTTCAGATATTAAACGAATCGCAATACAGTTGCTGGTGGGGGTTCATATGAATGTTTCTCTGAGGGAAACTGACTGTCTTCAGAAACGTTTAGATGGTATTTTTATTTGCATCTTGCCTCTATATGATGCATATTGAAGTAGCGGCAACCAAGGAAACGCTGTTTCGCTGCTGCTCCATAAGCGCCACCTGCTGTCAGAGAATGAATTTGCGTTCTTGTTCATCCTCCCTGCTTTTATGTAGTTTTATGTAGAATAATTTCACAAGCTAAAGTTAGACTATTGTTATTGCTCCAGATGCATTTTCTGCTGGAAAATGTGGATGTGATATATATATATCCAAGCTAGGAAAGAGCACAGGCAAAGCCTTAGTTTGTTTATCTGAAGAGATTTCTTTTATTTTTGTTATTTATTAATTTATTTGGGATTTGTTTTAAAATTAATATTATAATTATTTATTTGACCTAAAAGATATTCCCATGTCAGGTGCATCATTTTGTCTGAGAAATAATAAAAGGACTCTTTTTCATTTATAATTTGTCTTAAATCTCATGTTTAAAAAAAAAAAATCATTAAAAAAATCATATCATGAAACGTGAATTGTATCGCACTGTGAGTTGAGTAAATCGGTACATCCTTATTCCCAAGAAACATTTCTCATTATTATCAGCGTTGATAAAGGTTGTTTTTTTTTTTTTTTAAGAATTCTTTGATTAATAAGCTCAAAAGAGAACAGCATTTATTTGATTTTTTTTGTAACAATATATTTATTGTCACTATGATCAACTGAATGCATCATTGCTTAACAACAGTACTAATTTAAATATATATGAAATAAGACTAATTAATGTATTATTAAATGTTAAATATTTCTGTATTATATCTTAAGAAAAAAAACTGACCCAAACTTCTGAGTTACTGCACGTCTTTGCAGGCAGTATCTTTAAGGTGTTTATGGACTGTTCAGGAAATGTTTTATGTGGTCCTCAGGACAGATACGTGTGTGCAGTAACCAAAGACACGCTTGGGAACTCTGTGCCCTGTGCAGTTCTTAGACCCTCGTGAGTTTGACTTTTAAACTGTTTATTCGGCAAGAATTGATCTGAATTGTATACATTTTCATACATTTAGGCCTTGCCCTCACTTTTAGTTTATCTCTCTTTTTGTTTCCTGTCTTTCCCTCAAGTGGAGTCGTAGTCACTATGGAGTGTGTGGAGAAGCTCATACAGAAAGACATGATTGATCCAGTGACTGAAGACAAACTGAAAGAGAAGGACATCATACCTCTTCAGAGGGTGTGTATGAGAGAAATAATGCTATAAAGAGTGTCTCAATGTTTTACAAATGCACAAAGTCAGTGTTTAAATGTCTGTCTTTGCTCGTCGGCAGGGTGGGACTGGCTTTGCAGGCTCAGGAGTGGCCCTCAAAGCTAAAGAGGCCAGACCCGTTATGCAAGCATAAACAAGAGGATTGGACAACGCTTTGACCCTGTAAATATTGTCATTAATTTTGCTAGACTTTTTTGTAGTCCTTTTGTTGTCAGTTGTTTGATGAGGGGTAATCTGAGTGGATGTTGAAGTTATATTTTTCCTTGCCCCCAAAGATACTATTATGCAACAATATACAGTAGATGTGCTTTTTTTCTTTTTAAATAAATCATTCATTTTACACACTTCAAAAAATCACATTTGTCTTATTTTAATAGTTTTAAGAGACATTCAGGTTTTTTGTGGTCAAAATGAGGTTAAAGTTCATCATGATCTTCTACCAGGGTCCCAAAGTCAGTTATAGTGCTGACTTTAATGAAATCCATTTTATCCATGATCTCACTGATAGAGAGACGATCATCCTGGGAATGACATTAAGGACACAGATACAGTTTGGAAAGTGCAAAGGACAAAGAATGATTTAGCAGAGCAAGAGGGTGACTATTTAAAAAAAAAACTAAGCTTTTGTGATTAGAAATTAGACTTCTTATTAGAATGCAATGTAATGTCTTTGTGAGAACATTGAAATTAAACCCCACTCCACAATTGAAAAACCAACATGGCTTTATTTAGAATTCACAGAGAGAAAAATGTTCCACCAATACAGTGTCAATTACTTTTGTCTCCTCCCATCTATTGAATCCCTGCCCCTCTTTCCCTCCCTCTGGCTTCATTTCTCTGTGCCTATGCCTCTTTTCATGTAAGTGATATGTTGAATGTGAAATTTACTTCGTAACAGTCAAAAAAACAAGGCTGTTATTTTGAATACTGATGCAACTGGCCTTGTATTCAGTGCTGAATTCCTGAGCATCTCTCAAATGGAAGATATCATTTCATTTCCTCACAATTATCAAGCTGGAGTGTCTGTTCATAAGGAATGTGATTTTGTTTCAAAGGACGAAATGTGTTTGACAATAAATAAAGCTTTTGTCGGTCTCACTAAGATGCCTATCTTCATTGAAGCCTAATCCCTGACTTTTGGCTCTGGAAATGTTCCTAACCAACACTTCCTATCTTCTCACCTACACCCCAAATATATTGCCCTCCCCTGTACCCAGATATGCCAGCATTAAAGTTCATCATGTCTTTTGGTGAGATCCTCTCCGTAATTAGTCGCTTGGCTCCCGACAAACATGTTCCAGTTTGCCAGAATCTCATTCTTTGTGATTTTGTCATCCTGGATAATCAATTACATGAAGCAGTTGGAAGTCCATTGCAATTCATTGGCAGTGGATTAAAAGAAAGAAGACAGAGGTAAAGATTACTTTAAAATTGATTTTGAATTATTATTATTATTATTGGCATTGATGCATTATTGTGAATTAAAGATGCCACACACGTGAAGACCCAGTGAAAGCCACTTACGTTGTCTTTATCGGTTTCATGAATGAGATGTCGGGCCTCATTATCAGCATGGTCGACCTCTCCAGGGAGGATCCAATGAGATACTTCACTGGCATCAAGGAAACCGTCCTAACAAAAGCAAACAAATCATGAACCATGAAAGAATAGCCAGGAAACACTCCCTATGCTAATAAATTTCCTTCCCAATGCATACCTTGTTCATGTCTCTGAACTCTGAAAAGTGTTTCTTTTCTGTTGTGACCCAATCTGGTTCATTCTCTCCATTTTCAGGGCTGAACATGTCCCCTAGGGTCAAAAGGAACACATTTTCAATTCATTTGGTCACAAAATATCAGTTCTAATGTTAGCTTTCTTCTTTCCCAGGTGAACAGTGTTCCCTTACCAAAGGAACTTACCAATGTATTCCCGCAGATCAATCTTGCCATCACCATTCTTGTCAATGTCTTCAATTGTTTCCTGTAACAATAAAGTTTGCAGTAATCTGTTTCAGTGCTTCACAAGTGGTCTGTTCTGGTCTGACAGATGATAAACGCTAACAAGAGATAGCAAAATAAGCTATGATATTTATGGTAATTCTTCTGTCACTTGGCCAATTTTTATTATTATTTTAACATAAACACGTTCTGCAGAATCATCTAGAAACTTTCTCAAATCCTTTATTATTGTCAGATCACACAAGTTAAACATCTCACATAGTGAAAATGTGAACAAGAGATACATTTGGCTCTTGGTCTATAAGATTTTTTTCTCCGTGTAAATCTTCTCAACATGTATTAAACATATTTTTAAAAAGTTGTTTCTGTAAAAACATGCTGGTATAAATGCCTGCTGCGTTACTCTATGTACCTGTATCACAATGTCTCTCATGTGGTCAAACTCCTCTGGATGGAAGAAGGCAGTGAACTCTTCTCTGGTTGCAACACCGTCCCCGTCCCGGTCTGCAGACTTGAACCGTCTTTCATCTCTAGTGAGCATAGCTTTGTAACTCGCTTTATCATCCACATCATCAAACTCTGCATCTGGAATACAGTAGCATAGTACATTAACCATCAATATTCTTTAGTTCTGTAGTATGTATTGGAGTTTAAGGTCTAAACATTATTTGTTTAACATTTCTGGTCTATTTAAATGTAATACTAATTTATCAAAAATACAGTAGTTTCTTTTTGTGAATATGTTGCACTGTTGTGAACAATAAATTCATAACCCCACATAAACAGCTGTTTCTCATTAAAAGTCACATAATTAGTAGCCACGCCCAAATTCAAAGGCTTGTTTTAATTACCCATATAATATCCGTAGGTGGTGTTCTTGTACTCGATCCAGCCAATCTTCCCATCCTTGTTCTGGTCGTACTCTTTCCAGTGCTTGTCCACATTCTCCTCGATGTACCTCCTCTGCCTGTGCTTGATCCAGTGGTGTAGCTCAGCATGACTGATGAAGCCATCCTTATCCGTGTCAATCCTATCCACAATCTTTCTGCATGGGGAATATACAAAAAAATACAAAATGAGACACATGATAATATTACTATTCTCCTTTTTACTGTACCATTCTCTCTTGTTTCTTTTTACCCTAGTCTCTCTTTGCTCTCCTCAGGGCTTAGCTGGTCAAAGGTCTTGGCTTCCTCTTTGCCCAGGAAGGCCTCGTGGTCATACTGGTATCCATGGGCATCATCATGAACATGGTCACTGAGGTCAGGCTTATGATGTACACGCTTCTCCTGTGCAGGCACAGCAACTGTGACCCCAACAAACAGGGCAAGTGTCCCTAAAAAGAGCAGCTGCATATTCTTCCTAAGGAGTGTGTGTAAAGAGACAGAGAAAGATTTTATAAATTCTTTCTGCCCTAGAAAAAAAAAAAAGGATTATGCACACTAAACACACAAAGTCATTGCTTAGCATCAATGGTCTCATTCCATTTTAAACTAAATGATGCAGTATAGACATTTTATTTCAACTTTCTGAATAAGCATAAACTATTTTATGTTAAAGCATAATAATAAAAAACAAGAACATATCAAATCTAAAAATGATGTTTTGTATTATGCAGTGATTTACAGCATATAATGACTATTGAACGAACTGTACAAAAACAATTGACATTTAAAAAAAAAACTACAGAGCAATTTGTTTAAAATGAAAAAAATAAAATAAAAATAGCTAAAACTGTATAAATGACTTACCAAGCCTGCAGTGATTTCTGCTTGAGTACACCCGTTCAGCCTGAGTTGAGGACTACGCGTTGGCACTGTTCTTCTTTAAAGTGCACGTAAAAGTGGGTGGAGCAGCCACGTTACGTGCCCTCAAAAATGTTTTACTGACATGAATAAGAGCCAATTATAAGACGAGATTGGGCGGGGCCTATGAACATTCTAAATTCTACTGGCTGCGAAACGCCACGTTGACACACGAACGCGCATTCATAGAGGCAGGCGCGTTTTGGCAAACTTGCAAAAGGTTTTGAGGAGAGTTCATTTTTGACGGAAACATTGTGTTGATTTAATTTGGACTGATAAATTAATGGAAATAAATTAAGTTACATGCATGTTAAATAATCTTAATGTAACAGTGGTCTATGTCGTTTCGTAAATTAAAGGCAAACTTTTTTTTTTTTTTTTTTAAAGATATATTGTTAAATTGTTCCCGCAATTACAAGCGTTATGAGACACAATTACTCGGTTACTGGTTACTCGCATCAAAACATTTTGCAGAATCTTCCTTAAACTCTCTTCCTCAAATCCTTTATCATTGTCAGAGTGAAGTGTCAAGTGAAATTTCTCAATAATTGAATACCAGCATGTCAGTAGGCTATAGCTTTTAAATGTATTTCTTTAAAACAAGCTAGTATAATCCTTTTTTAAAAAATGAATCCTTCCTTTTTAACTAAACGGTTGGCATGCACTTTTCAGAAAGTTGACATCCAAAATAGTAATTTGTTTGTGGTCAGTTTGACAAAAGGGAGAACATGTTGTTGTTTTGCTATCACCAGGCTGCCAGTAGAGCTATAGGTCTAAGAAGTAAGGTTAAGGTACTAACTTGGTTAATGAGCAGACCTAGACAAATTGCAGATTTTTACATCCTTTCTCTGCTGTTTTTAGGGGAAATCTACATCAGTTCTGCATGAACATGGTAAAATGTGTTAAACTGAGCATAATCAGATTATCCAAAATATTTAATAAGCAAACACACAAGGGCCAGCATAAACTATCGTACTGTTTGGGGTCAGTTAAAAAAAGTTATTCAGCAAGAATGCAATAAATTTATCAAAAGTATTTGTAAAGAAATTTTAAATTTTACTTTTTTTTAAATAAATAAGAATCCTGAAAAAATGTATCACCGTTTCCATAAAAATATTAAGTAGCACAATGGATCATGTGACACTGAAGGGAGTAATGGCGGCTGAAAATTTATCTTTTTATCAAAGGAATAAATTACATTTTAAAGTATATTAAATAGAAAACATTTATTTTAAATGGTTAAACTGCTTCACATTATTCTTGCTTAAACCGTTTTTTTTTCTTCCATCAAATTAATGCAGCCTTGGTGAGCATAAGAGACTTCTTTAAAAAAAATAAATGGACCCCAAAAATTTAACAGTGTGTATGCATATAAGGGGGCTCAAATTCTACAGAAATCTACAAAAATTTATGCAGAATTTATTGCATCTAAAGTATATGTTAGCCTGCTTATGAGAAGACAAAATACATGCACCTATGGGTGCTAGGACCCGTGCCACAATCTCTCATTCTCCCTCACATCTTTTCACACAAATTTTCGCACCTGCCGTCTTTCTTTACCTCTTTGTCTCTCTCCAGACATACACAGTGCATCGTCCCTCGGTCCTCACCCCTTTTTCTCTCTCTCTCTCTCACTGTGTATATGTGTGTCCCCTCTCTTCTCTCTCTTTGCCTGTGGCTGTGTGTCTAGTACCATGGAGCAATTGAAGGTGACAGGGCCAGAGATAGAGGAGGGGAGAGGGAGGACGTGGCACTCTGTAGCCTGGGGGCACACAACAACACACAGAGAGACAGAAAGAGAGAGAGATGGGAAAGGAAATGGGAGGGCAGAGACGACAAAATAAGGAAGAAGACAAGTGCTCGGGAACCAAACGGATGACACAGAGTGATGGAGAGACTGTGGACCTAATGAATTATTTTTAATTGATGCATTAACATCAATGCCTCTACCGGATTTCGGCGTCACAAGCGGGGTATTGAGTACAACACTTACTCCTTTATCACATATACATGCACTCTCATACATGTACACACATTTTTTTAAGCGCTTGATGTTAATTTGTCCCGGCATTGTTGCTATGGTGACCTCTCTTCCCCCTCCCCCCCAGCAGAGAGAGAGAGGGTGACAGGGATGAACTAACAAGACACTGAAAAAATGTGCCCTAAAGGAGCGTACGCTCACACACCAGCACACATAATAAACACACACTCAACGTCACGTATGCAACACACTGACACTAAATATTAACAACATTTTATTAGGATCCGTTCTCATTTGCTTCACCTTTGTAACTACTTCAAAATGTAATCAACACGGAGAAAGATGCTCTTCATCTTCCATTGTATTTCTGTTTAAATCCTCTGTCTACATTGTCTTTTTCCGTGAATCCTCTGAATGAGTGACAAAGAGAGAGACATAGGTATGGGGGAGGAAGAGAGCGGAGGGTTTTGTCAACCGGAAATAAATAAAGCTGGCACCCTCCTTCTCCTCCGCCTCCTCTGTCTCTCTTTCTCGTGCCCTCCGTGTCCCCCTTCCTTGTTTTTTTCTACAAGGATACATCCATGGCCTCGTTATGTCTTGCTATTTCTCTCTTTCTGTTTCAGTTCCTTCACTATCAAGCGTGTACCGCACAAAACTCCTGTGTTTTGTTTGTGCCATGATGGTGTCCGTTGACCTGATGGTGCTTGTCATATTAAAGAGATAGACCTCCCAAAAATGAACGTTCTGTCATCATTTACTCACCCTCATGTCGTTCCAGACCTGTGTGATGTTATTTCTTCTGGAACACAAAAGGAGATGTTTATCAGAATGCTCGAGCTGCTCTTTTCCATACAATGGAAAAGTACCATAAAAGTAACATAACAGTTGTTCGCATGACTCTTGCACTGTATTCCAAGTCTTCTGAAGTAACACAATAGCTTTGAGCAGACCAACAGAATAAAATATTTGTCATTTTTGAAGCTTGACAGCTCATTCTGTCACCATTCACTTTCATTTTATAGAAAGAGCAGTGTGAATATTCTGCTAAACTTTGCGTTCCACAGAAGAAAGAAATTCATACAGGTCTGGAAAGACATGACGGTAAGTAACCGAAGATAAAATTTGCATTTTTAGAAGAATATCCTTTTAAGATTTGTGTAGATCTACTCTGACCCCATCAGTAAACTCAGTTTATTGACATAATACCCTCTCATTCAAAGTCTTTGCATAATATTTATACCCAATTTAACAACAGAAAAATAATGTCCAGTGTTTCTCAACCTTTTTGTCTTAAAGGCCCCCTTTTGTCCAAGACAATATTTGAAGGCCCTCCTGTCAAAGCTGATATATGTATCTTTGGTACTTCTGTTGTAATAAAATAAACAAACAAACTCAAAAAATATTTCAGCATAACATTCTACATGTTTTAGTGGGGTTTTCTTGGAATTTTAAATTAAGATTTTGTTAATATAACTAAATTTGAATAATTTAATATAACAACTCTTGGGGGCCTCCTTGAAAATTTGCTGATGCCCCCTAGTGGGTTCTGGTCCCCTGGTTGAGAACCACTGCCTTAGAGTGAATGCATAAAAAAAGAAACATCAATACACAAGAAAATAGTTCATGATTCACTGATTCTAGGTCTAATACCCAAAAGAAGAAATCAAAACCCCTTTGATCCATCCTTCTTCTTACCTCAAATGAGCATAAAGAGGCCTCATATTTATTTGCCTAAGTTGAACCTTTCATATTAACTAGAACCAAAATTGTCATGCTTGTAAGTACTGTTGGCTGAGTCTCCTGTATGAGGTCTCCAAGTCTCTCTCTCCCTCTGTTTTTCTCTCGTATTTTAACGTGTCACAGGCTCTTTGGTTTTTAAAGTTAATCCAATAAAATATGCAAATATAGCATTGGGATTGTCACAAAGTGCAGTGGAGGGTAAACATACCATATACACTCTGATGTGTGTGTGTGTATGTGTGTGTGTGTGTGTGTGTAGCAGAAGAGAGGCCCTCACATGCAAGTCTGACAGTGTTTACTCATGTTTGCATGTAATAGTACTAGCGAGCATGGATCGTACAGAGAACAGAGTAATGTGTGAAATTTCTCTTCTCACGAGAATGGCAGTGTCTTGTTTTAAAATTCAACAATATAAAGGTCTGTTCATCGAAATTATTTTTCAGCACAGCAGCTTCTATATGTTGTCTTTGTGTGTGTTTTATTATGAGTTAAATTGCTTTCTTTTAACCCTCATGTTCTTTTTGGGGAAAAGATGGCCCCAATGCCATCTAATGCTATTAAAAGCTTTAAAAATATATACTAAAATTATAGGTCAATACTTATGCTCACCAAGGCTGCATTTATTTGATTTATAATACAGTAAAACAGCAATATTGTATACAATTTTTTTATTTAAAATAACTGTTTTCTATTTCTATGTGTTTTTAAAAATAATTTATTTCTGTGATGGCAAAGCTACATTTTCATGTCTGAAATGAATTTTAATACTTTATGATAAATCATATATTCATTTTATTTATATCAGCATAGGGTTTTGATTATTTCATAGGAACCCATTAAAATAATTTGAATGGAAAATAAGTTAATTTTGTAATTATTTTCATTATTTTTATACATTGGTGTTGATCACAGCAGTGCACTGACCGCCGGCCATCATAGAGAAGGTGATCATGATCTGAAGCTCTCTCACAAGCTCTTAGGTTAGCCATTTTTGGAAGTCCGTACCTACAAAAAGTAAATTGCCTTTGTGATACTTTAGAAATAGCTTTACGTCTCCTCTTTTTCAGTCATTTTTTTGCCTCCATCTCTCTCTCTCACTTCATCACCTCTTTTCCTGGCATTAAGTCCAGACCTGACACTGACACGGACTCTGTGTGTCATCCCTCTCTCTCTCTTTCCCTCTCTCCCTCATTGCTTCAAGGACCAGAGTGCCTGCAGATGCATTTCTCTGTAGCCCACTACCCCTCCCTCGCCTCCTCTCTTTCGCCCTGTCTAACTCTCTCCATCTTTCTCTCCCTTTCCTCTCCTCCCATGCTCTCTCTGTCTCTCTCTCTCTCTCTCTCTCCCTCTCTCTCTCTCTCGAACACAGTCTAACATTAACAAAGCAAGAGAACAGAGAGAAGGAAAGAGGGATGAACAGAAAGTGATAGAGACACTGAGCAAGTGTGGACCACTTTTACAATTCATTCATCTACAAGGTGAGTCTCCTGCCTTCACTGCCGACACAACGATTGAGACATTAACAGATTCATGACTCTTTTATTGGAAAAACAAAATTTATTTGGGAAAATTGCTTGTTAAATGTGAAAAGGTTATGGAAGGCTTGACCTTTGACATTTTCTGTGTTGTACACAACAATATGTTGTATTACATCACCAAAGGCAAAATTTGAATAATTTAAATGTGCTTGTATTTGTCTTTGCTTGAGAGTCATACAAAGTCATATTTATTAAACTGAACTAATTAATTTCAATTAGTGCAAATCCTTTTTAACATGTCTATATACTCGTCAGCATTGCTTTATTTTTAATTTATTCATTTAATATTATACTTTATAAATTAATTTAATATATACATATGACAACATGTATTATACATAAAGAAGCCTTTGTATATGGATTGTATCAATATTTAACTGTTCATTTCCTGGGCATATCTGAACTCTAATAATATTTATTTGACGTAGTAGTTCCGCTATGTCACTTCTCTATATTTTGTTTCTCCTTCTGTCTTAGATCATTCTTTGCCTTTGAGGGCAATGTTTTACTCTCAAAACCAATGCAAATATAATTATGCAAGCACTTCTAGGTTATTTTAATGGCTAGATCTTCATGACGATGGCCTCAGTAGGAATGTTAGTAGTTTTACATGCAGAACTATCAATGGAACCACTGATATTTTTTCTAACACTTCACCAGTATTTATTTATTTAGCTGAACACTGCTATATAAATTATGTGCGGGTGCTAGCTATTTTTTTTGACATAAATATACTTGCATTTCGGTTGGTGGCTTCATGCCTCCATTTTCGTACTTTTTGTTGTGTAGTCAGTTTGTAGTTGAAAACATGGATTGTGTGCCATTGTGTGCAGTGTATCTATAATTATCTCTTTGTTTTGTTGGTGTGTGTGTCTCTCTCTCTGTTGTGTAGTGCGTGTGTGTGTGTGTGTGTGTGTGTGTGTGTCCGTGTGTATTGTTGTTAACATTAGTTGACAGTATTACTCTCTCCAGTCATGCGTGTGTGTACGACGATGTCAGACTAGATGTTCTGTACTTCTTAATTACTCGCTCTGTGTGTGTGTGTGTAATGAACTCTGTGTGTGTGCGTGTGTGTGTGTGTGTGTGGGGGGGGTTAATGTATATGTGTGTGTACTTGTGAAAGATACATAGAGAGATACATAGATAAAGAGAGTTTAAAATACAATAGTAACATACTTTACAGACATTAGATGGGTCATTCTGTGAATGCTAGTTTGAGTTGTGACAATTTTAAGTAAATTTTTGTATAAGTAATTTTTTTTATATTAAATGGGTGTAGTTATGCCTTCAGAGAGGTAACAGGGTGGATATTTTACAATTTAATTTGACATTTTTTAACATATAACCCCTTTTAAATTAAGATGTTTACTATAGAAAATCATGAAAACAGGGTTGACATTCTAAGATATACATAAAATATAAGATAAATGGATAACAGTAAATGGACTTTAACTTGTCATTTGAACGTTAACTTCTGAAAGGACAATGATGTCATTATGACAAATTTATTATAATCTATGGAATAGATCATTATTTTAAAAATGGATGAATATGATAATAACAGTGTTAGCACAATACTAAAATCTAGGTTTTTATTAAGATGCTAAAATGCTAGCTTTTGTTTCCATATTTTTTGTTTTAAAAAATGGGCATAGTTGTTAATATACAATAGCAAAGAGACATTGGGAACAAAGACTGAAGGAAGGCCAAAAAATTTATCATTATAGAAAATTAAAACAAAGAAAATAAACAAGGAAAAGTTACCTGAAAGTTACCACTGCTAAATTAAATTATTAATAATTTAATAAATTACATTACATTATTCTCAGATAGAAAACATCAACATAATCAGCTATCAAACAATAAAAATAAAAAAATTAAAGCCATGGGAATGCAATACTAAATTGGTGACACAACATAGGCCCAAAGAATGAAGTAAAAGAGCCGTTTACCACATTAATTCTAAATTTCTTATATCTGACCTTTCCAAGTAGCTTTTTTTCAGAGTTTTACCTCTACTGTCCTTCATTCAGGGTTGGAGTGGTCTGGATGATAGAAGGAGAGGGTCGGTGTTTTCTCACAGGTGACATTTGATGTATGACAATCTAACCATGCTGAACTTACAAAACGGCTCCAACTGGACTGGTCCAAACAACTGGTACCACCCGGCCGACACCATTACTCCTCAACACGGAACAAGTATGTGAGCGTTACTCAATGATATCTTTATATATTAGTAAAGCACCTCTGTGTGTGAATCTATGCTGTATGTGTGCTTGCGATTGTGAAGTCAGCTTTGGGGTGAACCAGCAATTCTTATACTTGACTGAACACAAACAGAGGGTGCCAACAGCTACACCATCAGCCACACATGTACCCCCACATACAAACACATACAATCTCTGGCCTTGACATCCTCTGTTTCATTACAGGAAGGCGGAACTAAAGCAAGCAGACATTAGACACAGAATTAGATGCCCATAATACAGTTGCTGCTTATTCACACGTACACAAATAAGGTCAAACCGTCAAACACAAGATGCTGCAGCGCACTACAAAATACACAGTCTTCAAAGAGACAGTTCTGTCAGTTTAATAACACACACATTTGCACACTGAAATGCAGCACTCTTACAAGACTCTCTAAAGTTTAATACTTTTTATTTCTCTCAGATGGTTGCGTGGAAGATCTGAATGTGCAGATGGCCAGAGCAGGGGAAGGAGTGGTGCAGGGAGAGAGGGATGAGGTGGACGAGTCGCAGCTACACCTGCAGCTAAAGAGGAAGCTGCAGAGGAACCGCACCAGCTTCACCCAGGAGCAGATAGATGCCCTGGAGAAAGGTGTGACTCAAAGCGCTGGCTCGCAAAATAATCTCAGTCCTAGAGAGGATGAATTTGCGTGGGATTGTTTTTGCTTTTTGCATTTGGAAATGATGGACCTTTTACATATGCTGCCACATTCCTTTCGTATACTTTCATGTTTTGTCTTTTTCATTTCTCTAAACAGTCCTTAAAAGCATAGTTCACCCAAGAATGAATGTTGTGTCATTTTTTTTACTCACCCTCAAGTTGTTTCAAACCTATATAGTTTTTCTTCTGTGGAACACAAAAGAAGATATTTTGAAAAATGTCTGTGTTTTTTGTCCATACAATGAAAGTCAATGGGGTCCAAAGAGTTCTACAGAAGAATGTCACACGGGTTTGGAACTACATGACATTTTCATTTTTAGGTAAACTATCCCGTTACAATTTAAAATGTGCAATTCTGCTTGTATTAAATGTTAGTCTGTGTTCCAGAGTTTGAAAGGACTCATTACCCAGATGTCTTTGCTAGAGAGAGACTGGCTGCAAAGATTGATCTTCCAGAGGCCAGAATTCAGGTAATACTGCCTTTGTGAAATATTTTAATGATCCTGTTTGAGATTTTATGTATTAATGCTGAAGTACCTATAAACAATACATAAAGACACTGTCCATTATGCACTGACCCATATTGGGTGATTGACAGGTATGGTTCTCTAATCGGAGAGCTAAGTGGAGAAGGGAGGAAAAGCTGAGAAACCAGAGGAGATCAGGGGGCACCAGTTCCTGCTCTCAGACACATACTCCCCTGAGCACGTCCTTTACCTCCCCCGTATATCACTCCCATCATAGTAACAGCTCAGGTACATCTTTTTTAATGACTTACTTCACAATATTAGAACAATAATAATAATTATTATTATTGTTATAATAATAATGAGTTGTTACTATCCTCTTGTGTTCTCTCGTGTTAGACTCAATGCACAGTCGGAGTCATTCGTCTCTCTCAGGCTATAGCTCTCTGTCTGTCTTCTCCAGTATGCAGGTAAATCATGATGACCTTCCCTTGCAGTATACCATAGTATCTTGATAGGCAAGTTGTCTGACCAAATGGACATGTAATTCTACATCAGTAATAAATAATGGACTCAGTAATTTTTGTTTTGAGTTATAATACTGACACCTAGTGGCGCGCAAAAGCAAAAGTTTTTATGTTGTAAATGCCACTGCATTAAAAGGATAGTTCACCCCAAATAAAAAAATCTGTTATTATTTATTTATTCCTCCTCACGTGGTTCAAAAACTGTATGACTTTCTTTCTTCTGAATTCTTCTGAATTCTTCTTCTAAATAACTTATGTTGTGTTCCACTTAAGAAATCTTCTGAATTCTTCTTCTAAATAACTTATGTTGTGTTCCACTTAAGAAAGAAAGTCATACCGTTTTTGGACGCCGCGAGGGGGGAAAATAATGACTTTTAATGATTTTTAATTTAGGGGTGAACTAACGCTCTATATATAGTCAGACACGAGGTACAGCAGGGTTGTGTACAGGTTCTGTTAACAAATCTCACAAACAAAACACCGTTTGAATTTTCGAATCCCCACTAAATTGACTCACTGAACTAGTAAAGGCATTTTTTTTAAATACTAACAACAATAACAATAATACAAAGCGTTAACAAATGCAGTTAGCGGTTACTCAAAACGGTGAGTTTTAAAGTAACGTTACAGTCCCTATGTAAAATATAAACCATTTATTCTATCAAGACAACATTTGTTTTTAATGTCTTAATTAAAAAATTATGCACTCTCAAACATAACAGCACCCGCCTTTTTGTTTCGTTAAAGTATGCAAAACAAAGTCCTTTCTACAATATTAAATAACGCAGACAAAAAAATTCTAGTACACGCACCTATTACGCAACTGAAAGGTAAAACCATGAGTCCACCTGACATTCAAAATAATTTAAAATAGCTTAAAAGCGCCCTCTAGTGTTTCTGATGGAATATACACAGCCTGCTGTAGTTTCTAAAAATAAACTCGCACGTATACAGCAGGTTTACAGTTCAGCAGGTCGGATTTAGTCCATAAATCCCCTCCCTTTAGTTAAACAAATATATCTTCATCATATTTAATGACCTCATGCACTCTTTTCAATTACATCATAGCAACACACCTAGTGTGCTGGTCTGATAGGACTGTGGCACATTGATGTAAAACAACATAATAAACCCCCCCAGAGTAAACTTACATGGGGTGTTTTTTTGTCCACTGATTTTACTACTGAAACTGTTGATACTCTAATTGAAATTAGATTAATCTTTTATCTTTATTTGCTCTTTTCTCCTCTCCTTTAGTCTTTGCCCTCCCAGTCCACTCCAACTTACTCCTGCATGTTGCCTCCTTCTCCTTCTGCCCTCCACCCTCTTTCCCGTAAATTTGACTCCTCATCCTACACCTCTCCCCACCTCCCTGCCCCACCCACAGCCAGCGCAAACACAGGTGCGTACCGTTTTGTAACATTCTCCACCCTCACACTGCATATGAATACTCTAATCCACAGGCCAAAACACTGCATGAGGAATGAGTGTGTGAATGTGGTTTAGCTGCTTTGTGGTTTCCTTTTGTGTTACAAAGTAGTCATCAGAGGTGACCACATGTCTCTTTCAGGATTCTTTCCCGGTGTTTCTGCAGCAGGGCAGACTGCAGTTCAAGGCGGCGATCAGGAGCTGGGACAAGGTCTGACTCAGTACTGGACGAGATTGCAGTAAAAACAGACCTTATCATTATCAGACATAACCAGCAGAGCTTCAATCAGCAACTTTGAGCAAATTATTAAACAAAAAATGTGTCAGGAAACCCTACTTGTTTAGATTATGTACACATCAGTGAAGAAGTCTATGTAAGCCATAATCCTGTGAAAAAAACAACAACTCACAAACCTGCACAGACAGATAAGAAAATGGACTCCAGCATTTTTGATCTGCACAGTTATAGTGCAGTTCCTAGTCAGCACCATGCCAGACAATAGCACAAACTAGTCTGGTTAACGTTCTCAGCTATTGGAGAATAGTAAAAAATTAGCTGCATGAGGCCAACACCTTGCCTCATGTTTATGCAACAAAAATTGTTGTTTAATTGATGTGCCACTTACAATCAATGTGATAAACTGCATGTGACCAAAAACGAGGATGGTTTAAAGCTGCTGTAGTTGCCGTTCAAAAGTTTGGGTTTGGTAAGATATTTTAATGTTTCTTATGCTTACCAAGGGTGCATTTATTTGATTAAAATACAGTAAAAACTGAAATATTGTGAAATATATTTTACAATTTAAAATAACTTCTATTATTATTTTAATATATATTAAATATATATTTTAATGTATATTTATATAATTTATTCCTGTGACAGCAAACCTGATTTTTCAAGAGTCATTACTCCAGTCTAATTTGCTACTCAAGGGACATTTCTTAGTATCAATATTAAAAACCGCTGCCTAATATTTTTGTGGAAACTGTGGTACCTTTTCCCCCCAGGATTCTTTGATAAACAGAAAGCTCAAAAGAACAGCATTTATTTGAAATAAAAATCGTTTGTAACATTATAAATGTCTGTACTGTCAGTTTTGATCAGTTTAATGTGTCCTTGCTGAATAAAAGAATTAATAAAAAAAAATATATATTACTAACCCCAAACTTTTGAAAAGTAGTGTAGATTGATGGCATTGAAAATGATGGATTTTGAGAAGTCTGGTATGAGCCTATCAGTTACCAGCCCATCATAATACTGCACTGACGTGGAGAAACCAATGACAATCAAGCTTACATCCAAGCTAAGAAATGACAATCATTCAAGTGCACAAAGTAGCTCAAAAGAATAAAAAATAAAAATAAATTGCTGTACTAATGACAATCAAACTACGTTATTAAAAAAGGCTGCAAAGACAATCAAACATACAACCGGCCATGTGTAATATACTGAAAGTTAAGCTAATGATTTATTACTGTACATTGTTAAATGGACATTACTGTGATTTGATTATTGCTTTATTTCACCACTCTGTAACATTCAGTTTTTTTCCAGCCAGATCCCATGAACTCACTGTAGATTTGTATGTCTGAATGTGTGTGAATATGAAAGAGAGACAGCGATAGAGAGAGAGAGTGATAATGTTACTGTATTTATCATTAGAATTGTGAACATTTTAGTATAAACCCTTTTGTGGAATAGCTAAATATTGAAATAAAAATATTACAGTGAAAAAGAACATCACGCATTTGTGTTTGTCTGTGTTTTCCCTCTTCATCATGCAAAGTGTTTATTTCCATGCAAAGTATTTGTATTAATTCTTGGTGCATATCCCAGAACATTCTTCCATGATTTTTTTTTTCTTTATCTTTTTTCTCTAGAGTGACTGTGAATTGGTTTACTAGCGGCTGTTTGGTTGTGTTTACTTATTACTGTCACTGAACAGTAGCATTTCCTGCCTGTGCGCTGATGGATTTCCTGTTTTTGTTACTTACATCACCACACCCATTGAAAATAATGTTCTGACAAAGTTATTCTCACAGGGACTCAGACAGTACAGGAGTTATGAATAACTTTGATGTCATAAGATATTTTCTCACATACCAGAACACATGTAAAGAAAATATAGCCACATGGTTATAAACTTGTATATAATAACCAAGGAGAGATTAAAATGAAACTTGGTTTAACAAAATTTGCTGTCTGTCCTTGGCACTTCTTATGGCACTCACAATGCCATTCCGGAAACTGGAACGGATACACTTAGAGGTCTGACTCTGCCCATATCTGAGATTTATCCTCCAAATTTCCGGTGCACTACACTTGATAAGTTTAATTAAGGCCGATGTTAATGAGCTGTGGAAGGCAAAGCACGCAAATTTCTTCGTTTGAGCAGAGGTCACTATAATAGTCACGTCTCTTCTATTCCCATAAGGCCTCGAGTCCCCAATCAGAGCATGTTTATCTAGTCTGTGTGAACATGGGGTCTCCTCCCTCAAACTCATCGCTCCATCTCTACCCCTCCCTCTATCTGTTCATCTCTTGACCTCTGCACACAGTCTTGGCCTGTGGTTCTCAAGTGGATAAACACATCCTCGGTTTCTCATGCAAACCTCCCTGGAACAGCTGAATGTGACAGATACAAATTCTGATTCATTTTACTATTGTTTAGATATTAAAAGGACATTTCTGTTTGAGTACAAGTTAAGCTCAGATGACAGCATTTGTGGCATAATGTTGATTACCACAAAAAAAAAAAAAAAATATTACTGTTTAAAGCACTTACAAAGAAGGTGAAAGTCAATCTGTAAATGTAAAAATACTTACTGTTTCAAAAGTATAGCATCAAGACATAAACAATAAGTTAAAACAATTTTATAGTGTGAAAAAGAGCTTGCTAACCATTTCTGTGCAAAATTATATCCAATTTTACAACATTGTCACCATGAAATGTAATGCTGTAAACCCTAAAACTAAAATTACTGTAAAAAATTATGATTTAAACAACATACAGCTCAAATTTTAACAGAAAAGTTAAGATAAATAAAATTACATTTATAACATTATATAATAAATATAAAAATAGATATAAAATGACAAGCTTCACATTTCTGCTTTTAAATCCCATTTACTTCCATTGTAAGCGCCTCACCCTAATGTTGATTTTTTTTTAAAAGAAAACAAAGGTCAAAATGACTTTTGTGTTAATCAGCATTATGCCATGCATGAATGCTGCTGATTCAGCTTAACTTGTATTGAATCCGGAATATTTCTCCAGCAACTCACCTCATTTGACAGATCCTTTTCTAATCCAAAATGATTAAAATATTGTGCATATGGCAGGTTGGCCTGATAAACAAAAGTAAAGGTAGTCAGGTACAATTCTAGCACACAGGTTAGGTCACTGGGGTTCTTTTACTATATAGCAATATAGCATAGAAAATACACAATAAGAACAATTCAGATACATTTAATTTTCCTTAATGAACACAACATCTTTTTTTTCAGAGAGGGGTAGCCATTTTGAACTCTGCACCACATTTAGAGTCCACCAAACTCTCTCTCTGTGTGTGTGTGTGTGTGTGTGTGTGTGTGCGTGAGTCTCTGAGAGTTCTTTGCTGGTTTCCTGTCACAGAGGAAGTGCCTCACCCAGCTGTGTTGCTCCCTATTGGCTCACGATCAGGAGAACAGTGATTTCGGGCTGATAGGGTGGCCGAGCGAGGGATAGATAGAGGGAGTGCGGAGCGAAGAGAGGGACAAGCAGTCAGGACAGGTCAGAGGGTAGGCAGGAAGAAGAGAGTGCACAGCTAAATAAAGACAGTCAAGATGAAGAGAGCAAGAGATGGAGGGTGCAGACGTGAGAGCATATCATCTCTGCTAAAGAGGAAATAACTCTGAGGTAAGACATCAGAGCAGATGAAGCTTCAGAGAAGAAAAAG